TGTGCCCCGCTCTCCCCTACCTCTGTAAATAAATACAATATAAATTCACGTCTCGTGCACTTTAATGCCCTTTGAATGTAACGTGTACGTTCCCTTGGAACTGGAATCATGGCGGAATTTCATGTGAAGTCCACTTCGCAGGGCACTTACAGTCGAATAAGACAACGCTTGAATACTGCCTGAACAAGAAACCTCCTTACTGAAGTGAAAGTGTTGACTGGTGTCACTATCTCGCGAACGCGTCTAGACACATTAGGAAAGCGGTGTGTGCCCCCCTTGTAATTTGGTTTTTAGTGGTAAGAGTAGGACATTTAGAGCGTCGATACGCTGAAGATTTCGGTTTCTTTTCTACATTCTTCTTTTGTTAGTTAGGCTAGAGGACTTGGGGAGCTTTATGGGAATCATTTGGTTTTATTGTTTTCTTTGATTTGGGCGCCACTCAAGTTCCTTTTTTCCTATATTGTTTTTGTTAACCTTCGTTACTTCCATTGTTGTTAATTTTCTTTACTATTATTTTATTTCAAAGCAAACTGTAAATAGTGCATCACAACGCCTTTTTCTTGTGGCTTCGGCTTCAGGTAATAAATTGTTACTTCATTTGTGTTTATGGTCACTTTTCTGCCTGTTTCAATCCACCTAGCAATAATCTATTTTAAGTGTTATGATACAACTCCTAGACTTTTAAAGATCGTAACAGTCAGATTTTCATGATGTTACCTATAAAACATTATTCTCCACATGAATTTATGAATTTAATTGCACTCATGCCACCTCTGAGCCTCATTAAACATCTGATAATGTACCTACAAGCCACTTCTGTGTTCTTCTGTGCCACCTTTGTAGTACAAATTAATTTATTAATACTAATTTCATATGATTGGTAACTTATTTGTCTTAGAAGTGGCATGAGTGCAATTAAATTCTTAAATTCATGTGGAGAATAATGTTTTAAATATATAATTTTGAATACAGAAATATTAAATGATTCAAATAAATGAAATTATACGCTAAAAATGAAACTAAATCCGCTAGCAGGTGGCGGAAAGTCACTGATTTTATCACGGAATCATTCATTCAATTGATTCGTTCGAACAGCTGAATCATTCAGGAATGAAGCACGTGACTGTTTTTATGAACTGACGGAAATGCGTCGTAGCAACGGAACTTTAATCCCTGAGTATATATATTTTTTTATTTTAATTAAAAGGTTTTTAATTTAATTTAGTTTTTTTTTTTACACTTGAAGTAATATACATTTTTTAGCATTTCAGTGAAAATTGTTTTTACAGTATGCATTACAATATTTTTGGAGTGTTTTTTTTTTATTTAAATAGTATTTTTTGATGAAGTTATTTTATTATTTTTAATGTGTGCACAAGATAATAGTCTTCATGTGTTCAATAATATCTAAAATATTATTAATACTAAACATATTCTATCTATATTGTTTTTCTTCACTTTTAAAATTATTTAATTTAATTTAAATCATCATGAAGCCAATACAACATATTTTACCAATGATGATAAAAATACTTATTGAAAAATAAAATTTAAGTAATAACTTTTTTGCATTTCAGTAATAATTTTTTTTTTTTTTTACAGTTACGTATTTTTTTTTTGTAGTTGTTTTTGTAATTCCCATTTTTCTCAGTATTAATTCTCAGTAGATTCCCACTACTATAATTGCAGTTTTTAAAATGTAAATAATATTAAGAAGTTATTTTATTTTTAATACGGTGTGCACAAGTTAAGAAATGAATAGTCTTTTAATAGTCATGTGTTTGCAATAATATCTACATATGAAGAGTTCATTTGCAAAAACGGATAACTCTGTTTTTAACAATTTTTCATTGTGCATTCCAATTAATATCAATCAAACTGCAGTTGGGTTATTTTGATTAGGTAAAAAAAAAATACAGCAAACACAATAAAAACCTGAGAACATAATAAAAAACATGATTTTTGAGTGATCTGTTTTTGCAAATGACCTCTTCATATATCAATATCTCTGTATGTTTTGCCCTCGTGCAGGCGTCGTACCTGACGTGGGGTGTTCTTCAGGAGCGGGTGATGACGCGCTCGTACGGTGCGACCGAGGTGGAAGGCAGCGGCGAGCGCTTCAGAGACTCTCAGTTTCTGGTGTTCATGAACCGCATCCTGGCGCTGACGGTGTCCGGTCTGTGGTGTGTCCTGTTCAAACAGCCCCGTCACGGTGCGCCCATGTACAAATACTCCTTCGCTTCACTGTCCAACATCCTCAGCAGCTGGTGCCAGTATGAAGCGCTCAAATACATCAGCTTTCCCACACAGGTACAGCACTGCATTCTGGGTAAATGAGCTGCATGGTAAAGCAGGTTTATTTTATATAGCACACACTTATCGTCGTCGTCATAGACAGTGGTGACTCAAAGGTCTTTACATAAAAAGGATATAAAATAATCATAACAGATGATTAAGAAATAAAATTAACAATAAAAACTAAAAATTCTAATATGCTTATTGTTCAGTAAGTATACAATTAGATGTTCTCTGTTTTTAATTTTTTGACAGTATTTTCCTCACACTCACCCAAATTCTCATTTCCATAATGAATTTATGCAACATTATTACAGCAAATATTATCAATGATGTATGTGTATATACAGTGGGTACGGAAAGTATTCAGACCCCCTTAAATTTTTCACTCTTTGTTATATTGCAGCCATTTGCTAAAATCATTTAAGTTTATTTCCTCAATGTCCACACAGCACCCCATATTGACAGAAAAACACAGAATTGTTGACATTTTTGCAGATTTATTAAAAAAGAAAAACTGAAATATCACATGGTCCTAAGTATTCAGACCCTTTGCTCAGTATTTAGTAGAAGCACCCTTTTGATCTAACACAGCCATGAGTCTTTTTGGGAAAGATGCAACAAGTTGTTCACACCTGGATTTGGGGATCCTCTGCCATCCCTCCTTGCAGATCCTCTCCAGTTCTGTCAGGTTAGTAAAATGATCATTAGGGCTATAGAACAAATATTACATATAGGATAAATACTTTTTACAATGTTTTTGTGCATTTCAGTAATAATAAAAAATATATATTTTTAAATATTAAGCATTATGCTAATGTGAATTTGGACTTTTCTTTATGTAAAATAAAATGTATTTTTCTTGTTTCTTATTTTTTTCTCAAAGGTTTTGTGAGAATAGCCGTAACAATGTAGATATTTAACAGATATTTCCCCGTGTATAAACCATATCATGGGTTGCACAATATATCTGTGATCATATCGGTGATAGACAATATTTGCATTTCTTTGAAATATTAGCATTGGTCTATTTAGCTGATATGGAAAGCAGATTATATTAGTGCTTTATTTTACCAATTCAAATAAAACAATAAATAAATAAATAGTGAGGTTTCAAGCATGCTAAATGGTTATCCATGGTTTGTATGTTGAACATATTATCATATTTAGATTTCTGGTTTCACTTGTACCAAACATTACAATTCTGCATTGGAATTTTAGTGTGAATTTCTTTAAACGAAAAACATAAAATAATATAATTTAAAATAAAATCAATAATATTAATCTTTTCATTTGTTTTTCATTAAACTGTGTGCACAAGTTAATAGCCTTCATGTTTTCACAATATACATTTTTAAAAATCTATTATTTTAGATATTTTACAATTATCTACATTTTAATGTTTTAACTTTATTTTATTATTTAATTAAAATCACCATGAAGGAAGTACAGCATATTTTATTTATTTATTTATTCATTAGTTTTTAAAGTTATTTTATGATTTAATTAAAATCACTGAAGGCAGTACAGCATATTTTATTTATATTCATTAGTAAAAAAAAAAAAAAAAAAGATTATTTAATTAAAATCACCATCATCACCATGGCAGTACGATATATTTTACAAAATATAAAAATAAAATAAAATAAATTAATTTTAATAAATAAAAATGAATAAATATAAAAAATATCTTTAAAATTAAGCATTATAAATCTATAATTTCCACCATGATGGTTATTGGTCATGTGCATCCTGTATATCAGTCTGTGGTGTCTAGTTTCTGGACATTTGTACTGTGGCTGAGAGAGCTCAACGCGCTGCAAATTCAGAAAACACATGCAAATAGAAAAAGCACCAGCAAATTAAGAAAACATCTTCATCAGTTTAACAGCACATGTGCTGCAAATGCTCACCACACAAACAAATAAAGAATTGCGCAAGTAGCACAGACCACAATAAAATTACTCCAACAAAACAAAAATTAACCATGTTGTTGTTTTTTTTATGGCGTATTGATTACCATTTGTGTAACCACAGTTGTACAAATACCATGGTTAATCTATGGTTAGTGTAGTAAATCCATGGTTAATTTGTGCATGGATACTATGGTTTAACTACAGTAACAATTTTTTGTTTTATTTTTTTTATATAGTCAATATTTTAATTAACTTTAATAGTAAACCATAGGCTATGGTTAATTTTTGTAAGGGAAGTTGTAAAAGTTAGCCAGCTTACATACCCTTTCACAGTTACAGTAATTGTGTATTTCATCAGATTATTTAGGCTTTTTTATATATTAAATAAACAAAAATCTCACCTTTCAGATCAAGCATTGATAAATATGTCCCAGCCATGTTCGTCACTTTGCAGTTCTCTTAAACATCTCTGAGGTGGTCTGTGTCTATTTGCAGTGCATTTCTGTATTTGGTTGTATTGTGAGCATTTGCAGCGCGCGTGTTGTCAAATTGATGATGTTTTCTTAATTTGCAGATGTTTTTTCATGTGCAGCATGTTGAGCTCTCCAGGCCACTGTACGTTTGATCAAATCTTGACATTTGTGACCCTGGAGCACAAAACCAATCTTAAGTAGGACAGGTATATTTGTAGCATGAGCCAAAAATACATTGTATGGGTCGAAATGATCGATTTTTCTTTTATGCCAAAAATCATTAGGACATTAAGAAAAAAATTGACCCTTATGGCTGATTTTGTGCTCCAGGGTCACATTTTCTGTGAGACTGATGTATTTTTGTCACAAGGTTGAGCATGTTCTTGCAACAGTCAGCTCGTGCTGCTGTCTTGATCCAACGCCACATGTGTTTCCGTCGCAGGTTCTGGCCAAGGCCTCTAAGGTGATCCCCGTGATGCTGATGGGCAAGATCGTGTCGCGCAAGAGCTACGAGTACTGGGAGTACTTGACGGCCGTCCTGATCTCGCTGGGCGTCAGCATGTTCCTGCTCTCCAGCTCCACCGGCAAACACTCCTCCACCGTCACCACCTTCTCCGGCGTGGTCATCCTCGGCGGATACATCGTCTTCGACAGCTTCACCTCCAACTGGCAGGACAACCTGTTCAAGTACAAGATGTCGTCGGTGCAGATGATGTTCGGCGTCAATCTCTTCTCGTGTCTCTTCACGGTGGGCTCTCTGCTGGAGCAGGGCGCCTTCTTCGACTCGCTGGCCTTCATGATGCGTCACTCCGAGTTCACGATGCACGCCGTGCTGCTGTCGGTTTGCTCCGCCTTCGGGCAGCTCTTCATCTTCTACACCATCTCGCAGTTCGGCGCGGCCGTCTTCACCATCATCATGACTCTGCGGCAGGCCATCGCCATCCTCTTGTCTTGCTTCCTCTACGGTCACGCCGTCACCCTGGTGGGCGGCTTGGGCGTAGCCGTGGTCTTCCTCGCCCTCTTCCTGCGCATCTACGCCCGCAGCCGCGTTAAGAAGAGCAGCAATCGGGCCGCACAGACGCCCGTTCAGAAGGTTTAATCGAGCGCTCGTTCGGATGTGTACAGAAGCCACATTCTCGTGGCTTGTTCGTCTTTTTTTTTGTTTGCTGCAAAACTGGTGGTATGTATTCCGTAAGGTCGGACGGTACAGAAAGGGATTATTCTTTATCTTAATGGGTTAGTTCATGCAAAAATAAAAATTCTGTCATTAATTACTCACCCTCATGTCATTCGTAAGACCTTCGTTCATCTTCGGAACACACTTTAAGATATTTGTGATGAAATCCGAGAGCTCTCTGACCTTGCATGGACCGCAACAGAACTGTAATGTTCCCAGGTCCAGAAACATAGCAAGGAAATCTGTAAAATAGTCCATGTGACATCAGGGGTTCACGGAATGACATGAGGGTGAGTAATTAATGACAGCATTTTCATTTTGGGGTGAACTCCCTTTAAAGGGATTTTGCCTGCACATTGTGACTTTTGTGTGTGTGTGTGTGTGTGTGAGAAATGACTTGACGAGCCATCGAGTGAACACCGACTTTGATAGCCTTTGATATCTTTGTAATTTGGTACTGAAATGCGTTCAGTTTTTCTATTTACATTTTGCTTTAAGAAGTTGTTCGAGAGGAAAACGAAATGTTGTTGAGGTGGAGAAGCCTTAGGAGTGCTGGTTTACCCACCGTTCTGTTCGCATCATATCTGGCTCATATTTCACTCCAAAATACAAAGGAAAATATGAAATTAATAATAAAACAAAATAAGAAATAGAAAAGTGGCCTTTTTTTTTTTTTTTAAGAACCATTACATTTTTGACCATGACATTTTCATCAAACTTGAACACATTTTCCACCCAAATGTTCTTTATTTTTAAATGTTTTATTACTACAATAATAAAACTATATATATATATATATCTCACTTTGTTAGTATAATTTTTTGAATATTTAATTATTATTACAATACAATAATATAATTTTAAATAATAATATAATGTAATAAATAATGACATTATTGTCATGAAATCTAAGCAAATTTTCTGAAATATAATTATTATTATTATTGTTATTATATTTTATTATAGTTATTACAATACAATAATAAAACCAAAATAATTAAGACAACGTAAGCTTTAAGAAAAAACTAAGAACATTTTATTACATACAACATATTACAGTACAATAATTAAATATTAATAATAAAACATGAGAAATAAGACGATAGAACCTTTAGGAATCATTGAAATATTTGCATAATGACAATTTCTTCCTGAAAAATAAGCAAATTTTGAGCTCAAAAAGTTTTTTTTTGTAGTAGTAGTACAATAGAGTAATACAGCTTTATTCATTGTATTACCGTTAACAGAAACGCTCTAACACAATATTTTTGATTTTGTGTGAAATATGACCTAGACTTCTTGATTTGGTTTTGTGAGATTCACGAGATAAACTGAGATCACAAACACAGTCATAAAAATGAACGTCCTCATTGATGCCAGTAACTAATTTGTCAGGTAAATGAAGGTCTTGTTTTGAACCCTGTTCTCCCTCACATTTCTGCCGTATATCAAACCATAAACCTCCAGTGCCTGTTTGCTTCATCTGAGGAAGCGGCTTCATGTAGAAACATGTACCAGCATTAATGGTGTTTGTTATATGACAAACAAACTGATTACTCTGTTTAAAATACTGCATTCACCTCAGTCCTCATGTAAGTGAATCTCATAAAGAAATACCTGGGTCAGAGAAAAATGATATATATGTTGCATAAAGAGATAAGGCCCGTTTTTCATCATTTATTGCTCGGTTTCTCTTAAAATTGTTACTTACAATTACAGTAGTTGCTTACTTCACAAATGTAATTAACAATTTCAATAATATATTATTTATTTTTTGCACTGCAGTCTTAAAACAAATAGGTTTTATTGGCTTTTCTGCAAAATGTTGTTTTTTTTGGGGGGGGGGGGGGGGGGGTAATTGGTTACGTCGCAATGTTGGAAATATTTCTTTTAAACCATGAAGGCGAGCCAATGGATATACTTTGGGGTGAAACATGATCTGTATTTGATCGGTTTTGCGACATTCACTCTGAAAGAAAACCCTGGCATTTTTCAGGTAAAAAAAAAAAAGTCCATACCATGATTTATGGACTTTTTTTTATGGTATTTTTCTTTTCAGCATTTTGGAGCTTGACCTCATTGAAGTGATTGAAGGCGAAGAAAAGCCAACAATCCAGTTTTACAGTGTGTTTTAGTTCACTTGTGTTCACTTTTAGCGTTTGGTAGAACAAGATTTTTACTGATTTGCTCTCGAGCTTCAGTTCATTTATACAATAATAATGACATCTATTTTTAATGTATATTATTAGAACAAATATAGTTTTTTTTCATTATATTGAAGATTCTTAGGGAAACTGAAATAGCCTTTTTATTGCTGATAATCATTTTGTCTTTTTTTATTCTTATTGGTTATTTTTCTGTTTTTGATTTGCATGTGCAATAATAATCTGCCTTCTATTGCAGTTTTGAGCATAGATTGGATTTTTGGATCAGGTTTTTATGGTGTTAAAAGCAGCAGGATGGGTTGATGTCTCATGTTCATAGTGATGACGACTCATTCATAGAGCACAGTTAAACGTGAGACGGGACGCCTGAATATTGGGAGTTTTATGGTTGGACCTCTTTGAGGTAGACGTGCTTGTTTACCAAAATATTTAGGTGAAATCTCTCTTTCGTCCAGCATTTACGTCCTTTTACAGGTTGCAGAATTATTTTTAAACTCTAATCAGGACTAATGTGTTTGTTCACTACAGGCTGTAGTTTTATTTTTATTTTTTAATTAGCAATACAAATCATCAGTGTTGGTGGTAAGTTATATGATTAGTAAAGCATTACCAGATGAATCTCATGAAGAAGTTACCATTAAATGGCCATAAAAAACACATTATGCATAAAGAAAATGATGCTTAATTTAGGCCTATTACAATTTTTCCCCATGTTTTATTTTAATTAATTTAGTCTTTTTTTAAATCCTTTTTTGCATTGACATTTTCATGGCAATTACATAAGCAAAAAATATAAATATTGTTATTATTATTGCATTGTGAATTTTCATGACAATTACCTTAATGTCTGGATGTGTTTTGATTTTTTTCCTCGTTATCAAATGTGATTTTCATAAATGTGTAACAGAGAAGTTTATTTAAATCAGCAAAATCATTGAGTGCATTAAAGGGGTCATATGATGTTGCTAAAAAGAACATTATTTTGTGTATTTGGTGTAATGAAATGTTTATGCGGTTTAAGGTTCAAAAAACACATTATTTTCCACATACTGTACATTATTGTTTCTCCTCTATGCCCCGCCTTTCTGAGACACGACGACGATTGTGATTGGCCGAATACCTCAAGCATGTGATGGAAGTGTTACGCCCCTCACCATACTGTGATACCGTCTCCAGGCACGACAAGACCAAGCCATTAAAACCCATTACAAACGAGGCATTTGTTGCATCCAGTGGGGACATAATTACTGATTATAATGACTTCTACTGTATTTTTACGTGTTAGGTATCGTGCCGTGTAAACAAAACCATGTCTGGAGAAACGACAAACTACAAACGCTACTCTACACTGCTCAAAACTCGCGTTTGAATCATCAGTGGCAAATTCTTTAAATATGAAAACGTACTTACAGTCTGTGAGTCAGAAGCGCCAGACTGTCCTTGCAAAGTTGGAACTGCCCCACTTTATAGAAACAGACACTGGCGTTTTAGGCTACTCTCACAGGAAACCGTCCTCATCCTCCGCAAAATGCGCTGCACACATCTGAATATTTGGGTTGAAGTGTTCTGGAACAGTGTTGTAAATACAACTTAACCACTGATTTCTAGTCGTGTCCTCTTTTGGAAGACCAAACAAAGTAGTTTCACTTTCACAACGAAACACACAGCGTCTTCACGACATGGTGGCGGCAGCAACAATACTACAGCGAGAATAAAAGTTACGCCTTCTTTCTTTGTGTGAACATTTGGGCGGCGTTATGCAAATCTTCCCACATAGTGACGTAGACATGTGGGGGCGTGTTAGAACGAGGCGTTTTAGGGGGGTGTGGCTGACTCTTAACTTTTATAAAGAATATCTCTTTGGATTTGAGACTTTAGTCTTTGCAACTTTACAGATCTTCTTTATGCACCAAGAGCTTGTAACACTCCAAAGAGAAAGGAACAATTGAAATCGCATCATATGACTCCTTTAATAAAAAATAAACAGTTAATATAGTATAGTATCCCTTTTTCTCCATTAGTGTTTTTTTTTTTTTAAGTTGTTTAATTGTCATGAAAATAATGTCATAATTAAAAACTCTTCCTTTAGGGAAAATGTATTTTTTTCATCTTTTCTTTTGATTTTGGGGTGAAATATGACCTGGCCATAGCTGAGCGTTTCCCCTTACCACCAGAGTACATGAGGTTTTGTTTTTCTGTGTGCAATATTAATTTCCTGTAAAAGCCCATTCATTTTTGGAGGTCAAAAAGAATGTCACCCTGGTTACTCAGATAAGGAGTGACATGTCATTCAGTGTCGTTTCTTTATTTTAAGTAGGTGAAGGACTTGCTACCTAACTAATGTAGTCTTATTCACTTTTTTTAGGGTTCTTTGTTTATATATTAGATTAAATGTATTTGATCATGTGACCAAACTGTCTCAGATTTGTGTTCATCTTCTCTTTCTTCATACATGTTTTTTATTCAATGAGCTGTCTGTTGATGTTACCAGCACTGCTAAATACAGTTAAATGTAATTTTTTTTCACGTCTTAAAGAGCATCTTGTGTTCATCTGTTGTGATTATAAGGTCTCCAATAAAGAACTGCAAGATCTTTAAAAGCAAAATCCATCTAAAAGCTAAAAAAAAGTTCAGATTCAAAAATGACTGTGATTACCTGGAAAGATGTCCATCTTATTTTGCAAAGCGTAAGTTCGCTATTTTACCACAGATTACAAGTTGCCGCGTGCAAGGTAAACAGATTATCTGTCTTAATGGAGTCTGTTTTAATCATACATCATAAATCAGACTAAAAAATGAGTTCACTGGAGACCACAGTCGGTGTCAGTGAGGTTTATGTATGTCAGGTCACATACTCTGCTGAAACACATTGCAATAACAAAATAAACATCTTCGCTAACGTTATACCACATTTATAGGCTAGCTTACTTTGTATAACATCGATCAGTC